TAGTCTATAGTCTAGTCTATAGTCTAGTCTATAGTCTAGTCTATAGTCTAGTCTATAGTCTAGTCTATAGTCTAGTCTATAGTCTAGTCTATAGTCTAGTCTATAGTCTAGTCTATAGTCTAGTCTATAGTCTAGTCTATAGTCTAGTCTATAGTCTAGTCTATAGTCGAGTCTATAGTCCAGTCTATAGTCTAGTCTATAGTCTAGTCTATAGTCGAGTCTATAGTCTAGTCTATAGTCGAGTCTATAGTCGAGTCTATAGTCTAGTCTATAGTCTAGTCTATAGACAAGTCTATAGTCTAGTGTATAGTCTAGTCTATAGTCTAGTCTATAGTCTAGTCTATAGTCTAGTCTATAGTCTAGTCTATAGTCTAGTCTATAGTCGAGTCTATAGTCTAGTCTATAATCTAGTCTATAGTCTAGTCTATAGTCTAGTCTATAGTCTAGTCTATAGTCTAGTCTATAGTCTAGTCTATAGTCTAGTCTATAGTCTAGTCTATAGTCTAGTCTATAGTCTAGTCTATAGTCTAGTCTATAGTTAGTCTAGTCTAGTCTAAGTCTAGTCTATAGTCTAGTCTATAGGTTAGTTTATAGTCTAATTTATAGTCTAGTTTATAGTCTAGTCTATAGTCTAGTCTATAGTCTAGTCTATAGTCTAGTCTATAGTCTAGTATATAGTCTAGTCTATATTCTAGTCTATAATCTAGTCTATAATCCAGTCTATAGTCTGGTCTATATTCTAGTCTATAGTCTAGTCTAAAGTCTAGTCTATAGTCTTGACTATAGTCTAGTCTATAGTCTAGTCGATAGTCTAGCCTATAGTTTAGTCTATTGTCTAATCTATGGATCTGATTCCCACTAGCGATTCTGGTAATAGAATGCCCGCTAGTAGTCTAGCTATATTTCCACAGATCTGATATAACATAACTAAACATCTCTTTATAATGAGATTATTTTACACATTTCAGTAATCTATTTTAGAGTCAATTAACCCCTAGATAGGATACACTCATCCCAAACTACTGGATAATTTTGTTGCTTTTTTCAAATGTATGAGTTGCATGTGTTGTTTATTTTTGTTTTTGTATATATCTATATCTGTTTAATAGCTATTTTTATGGATTTTTAACAGAGTTTACATTACTGCTAAAAATAATATTGCAAAAAAAATTATTTTACTTTTTTCTCCTCCATAAAGTGTAGTATTTTATTTGTTTTTCTTTTATATAACCCAGGGAATTATCATTGTTTACCCGAATGCTTGTTTAAGGAAAAAAAATTAAATGAAAAAATAACTGCATATAAAAAACCTAACAGGTGCAATTTGCCTGTGGCATACAAAAAAAGGGAAAAATAGGATAAACATTAATATCCTTATAAAGTAAAAAGTATTTAGTTAAAACGCATAAAAGGCAGAAAAGCAGATAATGATTATGGTTGTTTTTCCCAAAAAAATAAAAACGCATATTTGTTTTAACAAATTTTGCACACAGAATGCCATAATTTCGATAAAGTTTAAAAACTGGTTATTAAGAGTGATAACCGCAGTAAAAACTTACATTGAAAACAAATGAGTTAAAAGGCTTTCACTACTTACACAGTGGCATTTGAACTCATTATTTTAACAGGCTGTTACATACCCTCGCTTATATATAGTTAGTTAAATAAGTCATTACTTCGAATAAACATGACAAATGTACAGGATCCTTTATATAAAAATCTATATTGTTTTTTAAATTAAATCTTTAATTTGTGCAACCATTTTTATGTATCACTTTAGTACGTACATACCTCCCATTTATCGTACTAAAACAACTCACGTTTGTACCTTTATGATAAAGGTTTATCATATTCACCTTAATTAAGTGGTCGTTTGTTGTGCTTTAGTGTCATTCTTTCACTTCTCAGTAGTTTTAAAATCTAGAAAACTAAAACTGTATGACTTCTTTAAAACTACTGTTGTTGCTCTGTGGTTTTTATGTTTTCGGTAAAAATAGTACCTTTTTTACAAAATAAAGACAAGAAAAAACTACAGTAATAACACGCGTGACCTGTGCTCTTATTTTCCTTTTAATAATACGGGTTATATCCCGTCTTTTTGAACAGTAACATATGAAAATACTAGTACACATTTTAGATGACAACCACATTGGTACTAAATTTCCAGGGAATACTACAAACAGCAAAAACAACAATAATAATAATCATGACAACAACTGATATACAAAAAGGTAACAAACATTTTATACGTAAAAGTGATGATGATGACACTTTTGTAAGAAAAACAAAATAAATAAAACATGAATAAAAAAAACAACAACAAGACAAGTCAAATACAAAGTACATAGTGTAAAAAGGTAAAGAAAATAAAAGAGGATATAAAGAATAAAGAAAACAATAAAGTCAAAACATGGAGGAACGATCAGTAATGTTTTGAAATAGACCCTACAGTCAAAATGACCCATTTTCATATGTTATTTAAAAAACAGATCTATAAAGTGATTAGTAGAACAGTCTATAGAGTGATCTGTAGAACAGTCTATAGAGTGATCTATCAGTCTACAGAACAATCTATGAAACGGTATATAAAGTGATCTGTAGACCAGTGTACAGAGTGATTTATAATAGAACGGTCGATAGTGTGATCTATAAAACAGTATATTGAATAATCTTTAAAACGGTTTATAGAGTGATTCATAGAACGGTCTATAGAGTGATCTATAGAACGGTCTATAGAGTGATCTATAGAACAGTCTAATGAGTGATCTATAGAACGGTTAATAGAGTGATATATAGATTGATCTATACAACGGTATATAGAGTGATCTATAGAACATTCTATAAATAGAATAATCTACAGAAAAGTATATAGAGTGATCTATAGAACAGTCTATAGAGTGATATAAAGAAGACTAGGTTAGTGATCAGACTGTAAAGTCGATGTAAACTTTGAGACTATCTATAAAACGGTCTATATAGTGATCTATAGAATAGTCTATTAAGTGATATATAGAGTGATCTATAGAGCGGTCTATAGAGTGATCTATAGATTGATCTATAGAACGATCTATAGAGTGATCTATAGAACGTTCTATAAATAGAATAATCTCCAGAACAGTTTATTGAGTGATCTATAGAACAGTATATTTAGTGATCTATAGAACAGTCTATTAAGTGATCTGTAGAACAGTCTAATGAGAGATCTATAGATTGATCTATAGAACGGTATATAGAGTGATCTATAGAACGTTCGATAAATAGAATAATCTACAGAAAAGTATATAGAGTGATCTATAAAACAGTCTATAGAGTGATATACAGAACAGTATATATAGTGATCTATAGAACGGTCTATAGAGTGATCTATAGAATAGTCTATAGAGTGATCTATAGAACGGTCTATAGAGTGATCTATAGAAGGGTCTATAGAGTGATCTATAGAAGGGTCTATAGAGTGATCTATAGAAGGGTATATAGAGTGATCTATAGAAGGGTCTAATGAGTGATCTATAGAACGGTTTATAGAGTGATCTATAGAACGACATATAGAGTGATCTATAGAACGTTCTATAAATAGAATAATCCACAGAAAAGTATATAGAGTGATCTATAGAACAGTCTATATAGTGATATACAAAACGGTTTAGGTTAGTGATCAGACTGTAAAGTCGATGTAAACTTTGAGACTATCTATAAAACGGTCTATATAGTGATCTATAGAACAGTCTATAAAGTGATATATACAGTGATCTATAGAGCGGTCTATAGAGTGATCTATAGATTGATCTATAGAACGATCTATAGAGTGATCTATAGAACGTTCTATAAATATAATAATCTCCAGAACATTATATAGAGTGATCTATAGAACGGTATGTTTAGTGATCTATAGAACAGTCTATTAAGTGACCTGTAGAAAAGTCTAAAGAGTGATCTTTAGAACAGTCTATTGAGTAATCTATAGATTGATCTATAGAACGTTCTATAAATAAAATAATCTACAGAAAAGTATATAGAGTTATCTATAGAAGAGTCTATATAGTAATCTATAGAACGGTCTATAGAGTGATCCATAGAACGGTCTATAGAGTGATCTATAGAACGGTTTATAGAGTGATATATAGAGTGATCTATAGAACGTTCTATAATTAGAATAATCTACAGAAAAGTATTTAGATTGATCTATAGAACAGTCTATAGAGTGATATACAGAACAGTTTAGGTTAGTGATCAAACTGTAAAGTCGATGTAAACTTTGAGACTATTTAACTAAAGACTATAAAGAACTTTTAAGCGAAATTTTCATTTTACCAAAATTTTAACGTTACAACAAACTAATCACACTTCTTTTTAGCCTTCAAATAGTCCTCTTAATAGAGTTTTACTTAAAAAAAAAAATAGCTAAATAAAATGTGCAATATAAGGAAAAAATAAAAAAAAGACAACAGACATATTAAAGGGAAAAATTGTAACAACTTGTTCAATTGTAAAAAAAAAAACACAAAGTAACAAAAGTGAAATAAAAACTCACATTGGTTTTAATATGTGAAGAAATACTATAAAAAAGTGTAAAAGACTTTATATAGAAAATATGAAAAAAAAAAAAAACAGAAACATACAACCTACTCGTATGTTGAATATAAAATGTTGGTTGGCTGGTTGACTGTGGCGGTGATGATGACTATGGCGACGTACGATGATGACGATGACAATGATGACATGCAGCCTGTATGTGTTTCACAGCAAAACGACACTTTTAATATGGAAAACTAAATAACAAACATATAAAATATAAGATATGAAACTGATATAATTGAAGACCCTGTATTCGTACGTGTTAAATACAACGACCCCCTGTTGTTGAGGTTTTCTTTTGCACTTTTTTTTTTAAGAGTTAAATGTTTACACACATATAAATGAAAAATCATAAATAAATAGCAAAACAAAAAGATTTTTTTAAGATACAATTTTTAACATTTTTTTTCTCTATTTCTTTATAGATTTCGCAAAATCCCTCACAAAAATATCACCATAAAGTGGGTGAAGTACAAACACATCATATGAAATTATTACAATACGAAACATCTACCACAAATACACCCACCTCAACAACGACACAACAACAATCATCATCAGCAGCTGCAGCAGCATCTTCATCTTTATCACAGTCATCTTCTACTCAGGATTTAATAGCAAATCCTGTTCATACCACCGTTAATCAACCCACTACTGTGATTATACGCAAGGACATACATAGTTTTAATTTCTCTGACATTGAGTTGCCCATCGAAAGACCCACAGCTTCGGCTCATTATTTGCGTAATAAACATTTACTACGTGATCTCTCACAGCGTTCGGTGACGGGTACACCGAAGCCACCCACCACCGAATTGGATGATATATTTATAAGTGTTAAGACAACGAAAAGTTATCATGACAGTCGTTTGGCCTTGATTGTTAAGACATGGTTTCAGTTGGCCAAAGATCAGGTGAGTTAATTAGAAATTTAATTAAATATTTTCTATAAATAGGATTTTAAATAAATATTTTCTACAAATAACAATTTTATCGAGAACTAGAACAGAACTAGAACTGAACTAGAACTGAACTAGAACTGAACTAGAACTAAACTAAACTGACTGAACTAGAACTGAACTAGAACTGAACTAGAACTGAACTAGAACTGAACTAGAACTGAACTAGAACTGAACTAGAACTGAACTAGAACTGAACTAGAACTGAACTAGAACTGAACTAGAACTGAACTAGAACTGAACTAGAACTGAACTAGAACTGAACTAGAACTGAACTAGAACTGAACTAGAACTGAACTAGAACTGAACTAGAACTGAACTAGAACTGAACTAGAACTGAACTAGAACTGAACTAGAACTGAACTAGAACTGAACTAGAACTGAACTAGAACTGAACTAGAACTGAACTAGAACTGAACTAGAACTGAACTAGAACTGAACTAGAATGAACTAGAACTGAACTAGAACTGAACTAGAACTGAACTAGAACTGAACTAGAACTGAACTAGAACTGAACTAGAACTGAACTAGAACTAGAACTGAACTAGAACTGAACTAGAACTGAACTAGAACTGAACTAGAACTGAACTAGAACTGAACTAGAACTGAACTAGAACTGAACTAGAACTGAACTAGAACTGAACTAGAACTGAACTAGAACTGAACTAGAACTGAACTAGAACTGAACTAGAACTGAACTAGAACTGAACTAGAACTGAACTAGAACTGAACTAGAACTGAACTAGAACTGAACTAGAACTGAACAAGAACTGAACTAGAACTGAACTAGAACTGAACTGGAACTGAACTAGAACTGAACTAGAACTGAACTAGAACTGAACTAGAACTGAACTAGAACTGAACTAGAACTGAACTAGAACTGAACTAGAACTGAACTAGAACTGAACTAGAACTGAACTAGAACTGAACTAGAACTGAACTAGAACTGAACTAGAACTGAACTAGAACTGAACTAGAACTGAACTAGAACTGAACTAGAACTGAACTAGAACTATGAACTGAACTAGAACTGAACTAGAACTGAACTAGAACTGAACTAGAACTGAACTAGAACTAGAACGAACTAGAACTGAACTAGAACTGAACTAGAACTGAACTAGAACTGAAACTAGAACTGACTAGAACTGAACTAGAACTGAACTAGAACTGAACTAGAACATGAACTAGAACTGAACTAGAACTGAACTAGAACTGAACTAGAACGAACTAGAACTGACTAGAAACTGAACTAGAACTGAACTAGGAACTGAACTAGAACTGAACTAGAACTGAACTAGAACTGAACTAGAACTGACTAGAACTGACTAGAACTGAACTAGAACGAACTAGAACTGAACTAGAACTGAACTAGACTACTGAACTAGAACTGAACTAGAACTGAACTAGAACTGACCTAGAACTGAACTAGAACTGAACTAGAACTGAACTAGAACTGAACTAGAACTGAACTAGAACTGAACTAGAACTGAACTAGAACTGAACTAGAACTGAACTAGAACTGAACTAGAACTGAACTAGAACTGAACTAGAACTGAACTAGAACTGAACTAGAACTGAACTAGAACTGAACTAGAACTGAACTAGAACTGAACTAGAACTGAACTAGAACTGAACTAGAACTGAACAAGAACTGAACTAGAACTGAACTAGAACTGAACTGGAACTGAACTAGAACTGAACTAGAACTGAACTAGAACTGAACTAGAACTGAACTAGAACTGAACTAGAACTGAACTAGAACTGAACTAGAACTGAACTAGAACTGAACTAGAACTGAACTAGAACTGAACTAGAACTGAACTAGAACTGAACTAGAACTGAACTAGAACTGAACTAGAACTGAACTAGAACTGAACTAGAACTGAACTAGAACTGAACTAGAACTGAACTAGAACTGAACTAGAACTGAACTAGAACTAGAACTGAACTAGAACTGAACTAGAACTGAACTAGAACTGAACTAGAACTGAACTAGAACTGAACTAGAACTGAACTAGAACTGAACTAGAACTGAACTAGAACTGAACTAGAACTGAACAAGAACTGAACTAGAACTGAACTAGAACTGAACTGGAACTGAACTAGAACTGAACTAGAACTGAACTAGAACTGAACTAGAACTGAACTAGAACTGAACTAGAACTGAACTAGAACTGAACTAGAACTGAACTAGAACTGAACTAGAACTGAACTAGAACTGAACTAGAACTGAACTAGAACTGAACTAGAACTGAACTAGAACTGAACTAGAACTAGAACTGAACTAGAACTGAACTAGAACTGAACTAGAACTGAACTAGAACTGAACTAGAACTGAACTAGAACTGACTAGAACTGAACTAAAACTGAACTAGAACTGAACTAGAACTAAACTAGAACTGAAATAGAACTGAAATAGAACTGAACTAGAACTGAACTAGAACTGAACTAGAACTGAACTAGAACTGAACTAGAACTGAACTAGAAACTGAACTAGAACTGAACTAGAACTGAACTAGAACTGAACTAGAACTGAACAGAACTGAATAGAACTGAACTAGAACTGAACTAGAACTGACTAGAACTGAACTAGAACTGAACTAGAACTGAACTAGAACTGAACTAGAACTGAACTAGAACTAAACTAGAACTGAAATAGAACTGAAATAGAACTGAACTAGAACTGAACTAGAACTGAACTAGAACTGAACTAGAAACTGAACTAGAACTGAACTAGAACTGAACTAGAACTGAACTAGAACTGAACTAAAACTGAACTAGAACTGAACTAGAACTGAACTAGAACTGAACTAGAACTGAACTAGAACTGAAGTAGAACTGAACTAGAACTGAACTAGAACTGAACTAGAACTGAACTAGAACTGAACTAGAACTGAACTAGAACTGATCTAGCACTGAACTAGAACTGAACTAGAACTGAACTGAACTAGAACTAGAACTGAACTGAACTAGAACTAGAACTGAACTAGAACTGAACTAGAACTGAACTAGAACTGAACTAGAACTGAACTAGAACTGAACTAGAACTGAACTAGAACTGAACTAGAACTGATCTAGAACTGATCTAGAACTGAACTAGAACTGAACTAGAACTGAACTAGAACTGAACTAGAACTGAACTAGAACTGAATTAGAACTGAACTAGAACTGAATTAGAACTGAACTAGAACATTTACATTACAATAAAAAATTTGAATTGAAAACCCTCATAAACAAATAGATCTTCTTATAATCTGCTTTCTTATAAAAAATCATAAAGTCAAACTTTTAACCCTACAGGCCCCTTATTTTTTGCCTTTAATTTTTTATTAACAATCCCAATTTAGTATTTTCCCTTAAATATTTCTTAGTTTTCTCACAGTTTTCATTAATAGCTACAAGAACAACAACAACCTACAAATATTTACATAAATTTTAATCAGTTTTTGTTTATTTGACAAACTCCCAACATCTCATACTGATAATTTTTTTTAAATATTAATTTAAATTATATACAATTCCTAAGGGCGCTCTTTTTTTCTGGATTATTTCGCAAGAAAAATTTCTTATAAAAAAACATACATGCATGTCTGACTGACTGAATGACTGGGTTTGTGCCTGCATGTGAGTAAGTAAATAAATATTGGCAGTCATTCATGAAATTGTATTATTTTTTACAAAAAATGTCTACTCCAGCTGTAGTAGCAGGAGCAGAAAGTAGCAAGTACCAACTACCAGCTACTTGTACTTGAAGTGACATACATCCAATTTCAGTTTTTATTTTCTTTAATAAATTTATGCTGGGAATATGTTTTATTTGTAGGAAAAAAAAAACTAAAATAAGTACGTGTTTAATTGTGAAATATGTAGGGGTGTGTTGTTGTTTTTCTTATTTATTTTCTCAGTTACTTCTGGCATATTTGTCGAGTTATAATCCCCCTGTTTTATTAAAATTTCTTTCCCTCTACTTCTAAGATTAAATTGTCGCTTTTAGTATAATTTCTTGAAGTTAATTACTTTAATTTTACATGAGTAAGTGACGTGAGAAAACTGTGAATTTTTGCAATAAAACTGTTGCATGTTTAAAGGGGGATTTATGAATATTTTGTTTTAAAGATAATTCATATTTATTACTGTGGATTGTATTAAATAGTTGTGGGGACAATATTGAACACAGAACTGCGAACAGAACTAGAACAGCAACTAGAACAGAACAGAACTAGAACAGACACAGAAACTAGAACAGAACAGAACAGACACAGAACAGAACTAGCAACAGAACTAGAACAGAACTAGACACCGAACTAGAACTAGAACGAACTAGAACAGAACTAGAACAGAACTAGAACAGACGAGACTATAACAGAACTAGAACAGAACTAGAACAGAACTGAACAGAACTAGAACAGAACTAGACACAGAGACTAGAACAAGAACTAGAACAGAACTAGAACAGAACTAGAACAGAACAGAACTAGAACAGAACTAACAGAACTAGAACACTAGAAACTAGAACAGAACTAGAACAGAAACTAGAACAGAACTAGAACAACTAGACAGAACTAGAAAACTAGAACAGAACTAGAACAGAACTAGAACAGAACTAGAACAGAACTAGAACAGAACTAGAACAGAACTAGAACGAACTGAAACTAGAACAGAACCTAGAACAGAACAGAACAGACTAGAACAGAACTAGAATAGAACTAGAACAGAACTAGAACAGAACTAGAACAGAACTAGAACAGAACTAGAACAGAACTAGAACAGAACTAGAACAGAACTAGAACAGAACTAGAACAGAACTAGAACAGAACTAGAACAGAACTAGAACAGAACTAGAACAGAACTAGAACAGAACTAGACAGAACTAGAACAGAACTAGAACAGAACTAGAACAGAACTAGAACAGAACTAGAACAACTAGAACAGAACTAGAACAGAACTAGAACAAA